ACACCTAAAAAGACGCCTGATGCTAGTTTTTCTCGAGCTGTTCCAGCTCCGGCTCCTCCTCAGGCCGATGATGTTTTACAAGATGTTGATGATCCTATAAATCGTATCCCTGACGAGCCTCCGAGGGCTAGTAATGTTATGCATCCCTATTTTCATTCTCTGATGGAGACTTTAGATATGATGTTTGCATCTATGGAGTCCCATTTTACTGCCTTGGGAACTCAACTGAAGAAGCTGCAAAGCGACACCCTAGCTCGATTCGACGCCGTGACGGATATGCTCGATGCTCTTTCACAAGACTTTTCCACTTTTCGTATATCTCGTTTGGATCCCGATCCTCCATCGAATGATTGATCATGCTATTGCTATGCTAGTTGTTCTTTGTTGGTGTTTCAAATGTCATACTTTGAACTTTTAATTTCCTTGAATTTCTTCACATTTGATATTTTGGATTTGGTTATACTATTATGTTTTGGATGATCGAATTTATATTTATCATATTTCACATATTTTTATTACCATGTTACCTCTTATTATGTTTATCACCATGCCCACTATATTTTGGATATTATTTTTGTTGACTGACCTCTTATTATTAATGTTTTGGATGATCGAACTTTAATCGAGTCAAAAATGATTTTTAAATATAGTAGTACTGATATTGTTACAGAAGTATCGATACATATATCGATACTGAAACCCAAAATAATGAAGTAGTATCGATACTGATGAGGCAGTACTGATACTGTCAAAATAGAATGCTAAAATGGTACCGATACTTATGAGGCAGTACTGATACTGTCAAAACAAAATGCTAAAATGGTATTGATATCATATATGATATCGATATTACTAAGAGTAGTAGTACCGATACTCTAAGTTATGACATCGATATTACTCCTTTAGTTTTGAGTTAGTGAAATTCCAGTATACTGAAATAGTATCGATACTCTTAGTTATGGTATCAATACTACTCCTTTAGCAACGGTCAATCCAACGATCAAATATTTGAAAATTATACCTATCGGAACTCGTCATATCAGCGTGACGAGTTTCATGGCATTAAAATATTTTTTTTAATTTTCTTTTAAAAAATTAAAAAATAAAAAAAATATTTTTTAATTGGGACGAGTCCCTCAAGAACTTTTTTTAATCAGGTTGTGGAGCCCACCTGACACGACCCATTAAAATAATTATATCCCATTGAACTCGTCACGCTTGTTTGACGAGTTCCATGGGGACTGTTCAATTTGTCGTAGATCCCAAATTAAATGTTTGGGTGCCCTAATGGGCTAAATAATTTTTCAACTTGCCGTAATGGGCCAATTTGGCCGAAAAGTTCCTGTCCCTTTTGTTAGTAGGTCCCACCGAATGGGGATACAAAACCGCGGCACCGAGGCAATAACGGTGGATCGGTGTGGCATGATTCGATTATCAAGTTAGTTAATATATTAGATTTACGGGTAAATTACTTGTTTAATATCAAAACAATCACTTTTGGTCCGTTTTAGTACCTAATCTTTCAATTTTTTCAAAATCATACCTAACGTTTAGTTTTTGTTTAATTTTAATACCCGTCATTAAAAACTTAACGCGTTTAGTACAAAAACTGTCAGTTTTGATCCGTTTTAGAATCTAAATTTTCATTATTTTTTTTCAAAACTTAAGTATGGTTTAGGTATTGAACGTGTTTTGGTACCTCAACTTTCAATTTTTTCAACACTTAAGGTTTGGTACTAAAAATGAAACAAAAACTAAACTTTAAGTATGATATTTAAAAAAAATAAATGTTTAGATACTAAAACGGATAAAATTGATAGTTTAGATACTAAATGCATAATTTATCCTAAATTTGTTGATTGATTAATTTAAATTTTATTATTATAAAATAATTTTTATATTTTTATATTTTATTTATAATATTAAAATTTAAAAAAAAATTAATGTACATTCTTTAATTAACTAGTAGTTAATATTTATTTTACAGAAATAATAAATCAATTCTCAGCCTGATAATTAATCAAATTAGGATCTCATCAGACACGTTAAATCCAAGCATCCACCGTCCATTCGAGCGTGGGTTACGCTGGAAGATGGGGCTGAAGACAGTGACGGGTGTTCACAAAGGAATGCATAGGTTGACAACAGTTGCATAAAGGTAAGAGGATTAAAAAACTACCTAATCTCATAAAGCTCGTTCCAAGTTTAGAAAAGAGAAAATAATCTCAGTGACAAAAAATATCTTATAATATACGATTTTAACTAATTTTTTTTGGATTTGCCAAAATGACCAACTAAATCGCAATATGATCGATAATTCGCAACGCGATCTCCGGTATCGCAAATCAGTTTCCAGATTGCGATAGTCGAAGTTCGCGTTGCTATTTTTCAAATTCGTTTCGATAGTTGAAGTTCGCGTTGCGATTTATTTCAAGTTCGTTGCGATAGTCCAAGTTCGCGTTGTGATTTATTCCAAATTCGTTGCGATAGTCGAAGTTCGTGTTGCGATAGTCGAAGTTCGCGTTGCGATTTATTCCAAATTCGTAACGACTGGTGGTATGGTATTGCATTTGTTTCTTAAGAATTTTCTCTAAAAATATAATATTCGCGCGGACGTGTCGAAAACACGTATGACCACGACCACGACCACGAGACAGACGGCGGAGGCGGCGGCGCGCGAGAGTCCCCATTGTTCTCTATCACTCAACAAGGAAGTGGGAAAGCCAAGCCTTAAATACCATTCCTAATAGTGTTTCCAATACTATGTGGGATTGAGCATTACCAACACTTGTTCCCAATACTATGTGGGATTGAGCCTTAAATAGTGATATTATTTTTGAATATTTTGCTTAAAATTGCAATAATCGCGATTGATTGTAGATTGACTTTTAATTATGACATATTTAATCGTATAATACTAATGCAATTGGTTGCTAATTCAGTTGTTTTAAGGTGCATAATTGTTAATTGTTTCCTGAATAATCACATTGTATTGAAAACAAGTGTTGGTAATGCTCAATCCCACATAGTATTGGAAACACTATTGGGAATGGTATTTAAGGTTTGACTTTCCTACTTCCTTGTTGAGTGATAGAGAACAAGGGGGACTCTCGCGCCGCCGCCGCCGCCGCCGTCTCGTCTCGTCTCGTCTCGTCTCGTGGTCGTGGTCGTGGTGGTCGTGGTCGTGGTCGTGGTCATACGTGTCTTCGACACGTCCACACGAATACTATATTTTTAGAGAAAATTCTTAAGAAACAAATGTAATACCACCAGTCGTTGCGATTTTGGACTATCGAACTTCGACTATCGTAACGAATTTGGAATAAATCGCAACGCGAACTTCGACTATCGCAACAAATTTGGAAAATCGCAACGCGAACTTCGACTATCGCAACGAATTTGGAAAATCGCAACGCGAACTTCGACTATCGCAACGCGAACTTGGACTATCGCAATGCGATTTACATATTCTCATTGCGATAGTCCAAGTTCGCGTTGCGATAGTCGAAGTTCGCGTTGCGAATCTGGAAACTGATTTGCGATACCGGAGATCGCGTTGCGAATTATCGATCGCATTGCGATTTAGTTGGTCATTTTGGCAAATCCAAAAAAAATTGGTTAAAATCATATATTATAAGGCATTTTTGGTCACTGAGGTTATTTTCTCTTTAGAAAATAGTTAACTGAAATATGAGCTACACTTCATTTCGATGTTAACTTTCCATAATAAATATATATATAGTAGTTTTGTTAAAAATATAGCAAGTTATTGGTTTGACTCGGTGGTTAAAGATTTCGAAAGTGGGTTAGGGTTTAAGATTTTTGGCCAGAAACTTAAAACGGTGCCGTTCATGGTAAGAGATATCGATTCGGTTCAGTTTGGATTGGTTCTGGATTTTTAAATCGAAACCGAATCGAATCGATCGGTTTTTAAAAAAAAACCAAACACACTAAATTGGTTTCGGTTTTTTTCGGTTATCGGTTTTTAGATCGTTTTCGGTTATTTTTTTAGATCGGATTAGTAGTACACATGAACTATTAATAAAAAACAAAATAATATAATTTTTTATACATTCTTAATCAGAAAAAAGTTAATCTGGTCGTTTTTATTAATAAAATTAAACCTGACGATATTAATTTGGTAGTCTAATGTAAATGATAGCATAATAGAGAGACTAAATTGGTTTTTAACTGAATTTGATAGCCAAATTATTTTTTAAAATTTTGAAGGCTTATTTAAGTTTATTGAAAAATATTTTATATTTTAAAAAAATATTCAAATATTTAAAAAATTAAAAATTAAAATACTAAAAAATATTAAATATATTATTAAACATTTAAAATATATCATAAGCTATAAAATAATAAATCATAAATTATTAGAAATAAAAATTCAAAAAGTATATATTATACGTAATATATACCTCTAACGTATTGACAAAAAGTCAAATTGATTATATTCACATAGTCGAATTAATATGTTTTTTATTTTATATACATATCAATCATCATTAAAAATATCATATATTTTTACATGATTTCATCACCATATAGTTATACCATCAACACTTATACGTAATATTAACTTATTATATACGATATATGTGACTTACTAATAATTTAAGCACCCTACTTTATATATTAACTTATTATATGATATACGTGACTTATTAATAATTCTTAAAATTATTTAAAATATGATTAGATGTGTACATGAATTTAAATAAAGTAGGGTTTTTTAGTAATATTTAGAAGTAAAATTAAATTTCAAGTAATGTAATAAAAATATTTTGTTATAAGTGTTCATCGTTCACACGAGGCATTGGCAACTAAAACACTAATTTATTCCAAACTCAAAAAACCTTGGACAGACACATCTTACATCATTTTATAAGGAAAATACTAAGAAAGGTTCGACACACGAACAAAATACTGAAACGCCATTTGCTTATTTAAACCTCCATGATTGTCGCCTTTGAAAATGTTTTAAAGCAGTGTTATTAGCCAGAAATGTGAATGGTCTTGACCTCAGGTTTCTTCTCTTCTCCCTTGGGGACAGTCACAGTTAAGACCCCATTTTCCATGGTAGCCTTAACCTCATCCATCTTTGCATTCTCAGGCAACCTGAACCTCCTCAGGAACTTGCCACTGCCAAGCTCAATGCGACGCCATTTCTCATTCTTCTCTTCTTTCTCTTTGCTTCTTTCTCCACTTATCTGAAGAATCCTCCCGTCTTCCACCTCCACTTTCACTTCCTTTTTCTTCACCCCCGGAAGGTCAGCTTTGAAGACGTGGGCTTGGGGCGTTTCTTTCCAGTCAACCCTTGCATTAACAAAGGCTGAAGTTTCACGCGGTACATTGGTAGGCATTGTAGAGTTGAAGAAGAACCCGTCCAAAGGGTCCCATATGTCTAGAGAAAATGGATCGAAGACATTGGTTGTTCGACCACTGAACAGGCTGGGAATGAGTTGAGACATCTCTGAACAAGAAATTAACACAAATTGGAAATGTATAAGAATTGCTGAGGAAGATTTTGAAGCTTCACCATGAATTGTGGTTGAGACCAGAAATGCTATATATACAAGTGATTCAAAGTGAAAGAGGTTTCTAGTTTTTTTATATTTGGAAGCGAGAATAATTATAGTTTATGAGTTGCAAGAGTTTTCTGGCAGTTTCATGGCCTTTCTCCCACCATATTTATTCGTGCCTAACTTTAGCAAAAGAATAATAATTCAAATAAATGTTCTCTATTCTTTAATGATATTGTTGAAATGCCATATTTATTCCCACCATATTGTTGGTGGCCTTTCTCCCACCAGATTTTGACGTGGAAAATTGAATAGTTTTAAGGCTATTGCTTCAACTTTGTATGAATTGGGTCGTAGTAGTCATTCGAAGTTTATTCATGATTGAATTACTATATGAATATATATTTTTTTTAAAAGAAAAAATATGAACCAATAATATCCCATTTCCATTACCATTCTACTTCTTTTAAAAAATTGTTTGTTGATTTTTGGTTATATTCTCCTGGGTTGTTGGGTGGCCCAAATAGAAAGACTAGGTAAGGTAACGGCCTTATGAGATAACAAATGGGATGTGGTGGAAGGTGTTTCAGTTAGAATTCAGGCCTTAGATCACTATGCAAGGCTCAAGGTTTTCAAGGCTTTAGCCCACGTTCAAGGTCTCGATCAGACTGAGTTATGAATACGGAAACTGCGTCTAAATATAGATTAATGGGTGCATAGCGGTAAACACCGTTACCATAGTATGTACCAACAACATCATCAATTTTGGAAAATTTAGCACGACAGTAGTCAAAACCAAACACTCGAGTTATTTGTGAAAATTAATACTAAAATTCAGCCAAAGGCTGCTTAAACTTTCACCAAATAAACTTCAAAACCAACAATAAATCAAACTCTTTTACTCTTCAAAGTTGTAACCATATTGATTTCTACAACTGCTCCAGCGCAAAGTTGCTGCAACGTCGGCCCTTTTAATAGTGTTGCACACTTGGATTGTTCAAACCATCAATAATGCACTTAAGTTTTCCTAAACGCATGATCAAAGCTTAAATCTATCTTAATCGCTAGTCTTTTCCGTGGAAAATATTAAATAGTTTTAAATAATAAAACCGTTTGCTTGAAGAGACGGTGCATGTATCATATGAACCCCCTTGATGAATCATGGGTTATAATCCGGAAACATTCAATTGGAATCCAAAGTCACAGCAATGGTTAGGAGTTGCGATATCTTAAAAAAATAGGTTGGATAAGCAAAATATCTGCAGATATTAGGAATTAATGATTTTATTTTCTGTCAGCAAACTTATAGATAATATTTTGAATTTAAAATAATGTATCTTTGAATAGATAAAGCTGGTTAACTCTAAAATATTGAATCAATCAATGTAAACAAGATTGAACAGGGTAGCCGTGATATAAATAGTTCGATGGCAGCCATTGACAATATGACATATTTTCTGTTTAATCTTTATTGTACGCATATAATAGGCCAATTAAATGTATATAGTCTCTTGTCTTCTTTGATGGTAGGCCAAAGGTCACCGTCTCTTCTGTATCCTCATTTTCAAGCCCAAAAGAAACGCATCAAACAACATACAAGGGCACCCAAAAAAATATCTTAAATTGTTATTTTCTTTCTTTCTTTAATCTCAGTTAGGCTAAGGATCAGTGTAGTGCAATTAATTCACCTTTAATCTTGATTGCAACACATACGAGAGCACGAATTGAGTTGAACAACACCGTCAGTATATGTGTGAATTTTGTTTAATTTGATTTATACTCATGCTAATATATATCTTTAATATATACATATGCACATTTTTTTTTCAGAATAGCATAGGCATTTGCAGTTGGCAGTGTCGTGTGGTGGACAGAAAATGCACGGTCCCAATAGATAGGTTTGTATCCTAATTTAGAGGCTTATAAAGAAATACATATATATTATTAGTGTGTGAGCAGGATTTCCAATAACAGATAAAATTCTACAATGAATGTCATGTATTAAAAATCACTACTAATTTTATAGTGCAAAACTAATAAATTGTTATTAAATCATATTAAAAATGATATTTTTAGATACTAAGCTTTTAAAATTTTATAATGGACATTAAACTTTAGATTTTGATACAGAATGAACATAATATCAATATATGCCATTAAATAGGTGATTTAAAATGCTAAATTAATGGGGGAATCTCATTTGATCCTTTGATTGTAAGTAAAATTAACATTATAAATTTTATTTTATTGTTAATTTTAATTAAAATAATTTTATTAAGTTCGTTGAATTGAAAATAAAATATATGTAAATAAAGTAAATATTATTTTTATTATTATTTTATAGATATTGAGTTTATATCATATAAATTATTTAATATGTAATTAAAAGTTAAGAACTATTTCAAGTATTTATTTAAGTTTATATGTATTTGATGAACTAAAAAATGTTACAAAATTATAATAAAAAATTGAATAAATAAATTATTATCATATATTAAAAAAAATCAAATTTTCTATTTTTTAGAATTATTACTTAAAAATATTAAATATATATATCAAAATGATATTTTATTTATAATTGAGAGATTAAATGAGATATATTTGTTTATTAGTTTAGCATGCTACATAACCCCTTAACAGCATTTAATGTTCGGTGTTTAACAAAATCAAAAATTAAATATCTATTTTTGTAACTTTTAAAAACTTAATAATAAATAAAATTATTTTAATTAAATTTAATGATCATTTATGAATTTTATCCTAAACAATATTCATTTATGAATTTTATCTTAAAAAATATTAGTGATATGTGTCATGCATTATAGACGGGAATGTCTCAGGAACGACGGGTTAATATACGGCTAATATACGACGTTACCGGATATATTAAAATATATTTAACAAATTCGGTTTAGCGCTATCGGAAATGTTGACTAATAATAATGTAGTAGGTCTAAGTCATGAAGAAATATTAAAAAATTGTGCAACCGGCAAACTTAACTTGTCGGTTCGTGTTGATCCAAATTAAAAATGTATCGATCCACAAAGATATAACAGGTAAAACTATGACAAAACCAGTATTGAAATGATAAAACCGGTAAAGCAGTACCGAATATATTTAAAGTGTCGGTACTTTAATATAAGGATCGACACTTCGTTAATTTAAAAGAGAAGCAGTTTTAGCGCCTATAAAGTGTCGATACTTTCAAAAAATATATCGATCAACAACGATATAACAGGTAAAAATATGATAAAACTGCTATCAAAATGATGAAACCGATAAAACGCTACCGGATATATTGAAAGTGTCGAAACTTTATATAAGGATCGACACTTTGTGAATTTAAAAGAGAAGCAGTTTTAATGCCTATAAAGTGTCGATACTTTAAAAAAATGTATTGATCAAACAACGATATAACAGGTAAAAATATGATAAAACCGGTATCAAAATGATAAAACCGGTAAAATGATACTGGATATATTAAAAGTGTCGATACTTTCGTAAGTACGTGTAATAAATTATCGATACTTTCAAAGAAATACGTAATTATCCTTTTGAAAGTATCTACACCTGACATAAAAGTATCGATACTTTTGTATTTGTATCGATTAAATATAAATAACATATCCGATGAAAATATAAAGGTCATAGCTAAATATCCTCTGAAAATAGATAGAACGGACGAGTTTTTGAAATCGAAGCGTAATTGTTATTGCATTTCAGAAGGCGTTTCTAAAGCGAAGTTTGTTTGTTTGTTGCTGCAGTCGAATCGAAAAGTATGTTGTCGAAACCCTACTTTTTTAATATTACAGTAATCGCGATAGGGTTTTTATGTGTTTTTGGGGTTTTGGAGTAAAGAAACATTTGGGACCGATTGCATGTAGAAAGTGATATTCAAGGAAAAAAATAAATGTCGATACTTTTATTAAATATTATAGGTTGTATAAATGTGCCGACACATTTTGTAGTGGCCATTCAAATTCTTTTGAAGAAAACCGTTTTACCACAAGAGTAATTATCTATATTTGTATATTGAATAAAGTGTATGTAACAAAATAATTTGATTTGCGTAAACTGATATATAAAGGCCAGGAAAAAATGGAGTCAATGGGTTGGAAAATTGTTGGTGGCGCATATGACTTTGAAATTGAGGCCGAGACTCGAAAGCAACCAAAGGGTAGATATATGTACTTCTAGTAAGTATCAATGTCTTTTTGTTATTATTGTTGAAATGGTAATTGGATTAAAGTATCGATAAAATTTAAATTGATTACAAATTTTAAATGTTGACAGTATGGTCGAATGCAAAAGGATGAAGGAAGATGGCACACAGAGCGGTTCGATATGTAAAATTAAATTGACATTGAGTATTATTCAGTGTTAATGTATTGATTAAGAAATGTTTATGTTTAATATTAGGTGACAAAAGATGTGAGGTCCAAATGGAATTCGATGAGTGATGCTGAAAAGGAACCTTACATCACACAGTCAAGGAATGATAGTAAAGAATACAAAGAACGGAGGAAAGCACATGAAAATAAGGTATTCATTAAACTTGTAAATACGTTGATACAAAATATATAAGAACTATAACATTATATATTGTTAAAAAATGTAGGAAGTGTCGACAAGATGCAGCATTAAAAGGGTGAATTCATTAATTAAACACCTTAAGGAGAAGGGTCAGTTGAATGTGCAAGGAGAAATAGGTTTTGGATCGTTGGTAGGGGTAAGGGATCGACCTATTCGGAGGGAATTGTGTCAATCCTTGATGGCGCAATTTGATGTCAGACAATGTATTGCTAAGTATGGTGATTTTTCATTTCCTCTCGGGATCCCATATGCTGCAGCCGTATTGGGGGTAGAAAATGAAGGCAAAAGTGTTGTAGAAGTCTGTAAGAGTAAGGACTGGAAAACACTTGCCTCCAAATATGGTTTGAAGCAGAAG